TATGGTAACTGGGGCAGCTGGATTCTGTGTGGCCAACTGTGCAGTTTGAGTCCCATACTCAACACCTTAAAAAACATGTTAGTTGTGTGTGTGGTGGGGGGGAGGGCAAGTCCTGGGAACAGAAGGGATTGTGGATTGGCCGTTCATCATGGGGGGGAGGTTCTTTCTCACTCTCTCCTCTCTCTTAGTCTCTTTCTCTCTGGCAGGTGCCTATGTATATATATAATCTGTAAGAGTAGAGGAAAAAGAAATTGTAGATAAGCACTGTGGTCAAATAATAAACTTCTTTCTTGTGAGTGGTATGAGTTAATATATGTAAAACCATTACACTCATACGCTAGAATTAAGATCTTTTTTCTTCCTTCTCTCTCTCTCTTTCTTTAAACTTTGTTGGAGGATGTGTGTACTTGTCAGGGAAAGATGGGTGATGGAGTGTGGAATGTGAAGACACCCCTGATGGAAGATGGTCACTCTGCAACCCCTTCTAATCCGTTCCCCTCTTGGGATTTTGGGGACTCACACACACCAACACCCAGCGTGTTTTTCAAGCCTCTAGATCAAGACTTGAATTGCACAGTCAGCCATGTGGGATCCAGTTATCTTAACCACCACACCGCTAGCAGGTCCATAGAATTAAATTATTTTTAAAAATTGATGATGCATGGTGGAAGCCAGGCTTCTCACTAGAAAGGGAGGTTATAAATAAGCAAAGAATGAGAGCTAGAATGGACTAAGTGGCAATGAATTAGAATTGGAGAATCAGCATGAATTTATGTATAACTTAATATAGATGCAAATGGTCATGTACAAGAATATTTATAGATAAATGTACATATAATGGTTACTATTTATGCATATATTTCCCCCTCTGTCAGCAGAGAGGTCCTAGAGGAAATGACACCCTGGTTGCCATGAAATAATTAGGTCTTTTTGAAGAAATGGGTGCATCTACGCTGGGCCAGAATAATGTAAATCGAGGCTGAACTATCCTGCAGTGCTAGAAAGTAAGAAGTCCCCCAAAACAAAAAGAGGATGGAAAATACAAAGATAGGGATATGTCAAAGGAAGATATATATGCAAAAAAGTTCCTAATGGCCAAAATTGAAACAATTGGAGCAATAAAATAAAGTAGTATTGGGTTTATTTTAGTAAAAAGTATAAAACAAGCACCTATCATTTCATACTGGTATAAATAAATTATTAAACAAATATATAAATAAATGGGGAAGATGAAACAAATCTCTCATGTGGAAGAATTTTAAATAATTTATACAGATATTTCACCCTCAAATAGATAGAACATAATTCCTCACTTTTTAAATGTGGGCCATGAAATGACCTCCTTCTAAAGGGTAGAGTGTGGAAATAAGTGCAAAACTTTGCATTCTTGGGACAACATTTCCCCTTTCCCTATTTCTCACCTTCCAGCCTCTGGTAACCGCCATTATGCAATCTATGAGTTTAACTTTTTTAGATTCTACATTAAGTGAGATCATGTGCCCAACCTATTACACTTAGCTTAGTCTTCATCTGTAGCATCACAAATGACAGAATTGCCTTCCTTTCAAAGGCTGAATAGTGGTCCATTGTGTAGGAGATACATATCACATTTTCTATATCTAGCCATTCATTGATGGAGACATTTCTTTCTTTCTTGTCCTGGCCATTGTGAATAAGACTGCAATAAACATCGTTATTTTGTGTCAACATACTGATTTCAATTTCCTTGGATAAATATCCAGAAATAGGATTGTTGGGTCAGATGGTAATTTTATGTTTAGTTTTTTGAGGAACCTCTATACTGTTTCAATGTCTCTACACTTATATTCCCACCAATAATACTTTTCTACTCTTGACTGAAAAAGTTAAATACATATAATGTAATTAAATTATAAAACCTCAAAAGCTATGATATTTCTCCCTCCAGAATGCAACCTCTGAATTTCCGAATTTCCAATCTAACAACTTATAGAGGGAATTCATAGAAACACACTTTCAATGAATTCCCTCTTTAATCAAAATACTTCTTTTCCATATCAATGCAAACACATTCTCCTCCATAAAAATATGGGCAATAAAGCTATCACAACAAACCCAGAAAACATTTGAGGCCAGGCCACATGGCATTTTAGCTGCAAAACTATAATTATTAAGTTTTTCCAAATGTTTGTGATGTTTGAGTTCATTTAAAAGTATCTGTCTGTGCCAATATATTCTGGTGGTTTCATCTTCTTTCATACAAACCTCTAAGGGTTTCCTAATTAGAGGGATTTACAGGAAATGTCAAAATTCTAAATAACTGATGTGTTGTAATTAAAGTCTCAGCAATTGAGCAAATTAACCTTTACATTTATACAATATCAAACTACATGGCAGTTTCCAGAAAGTTTCTAAGTAAGCAGTAGAGGAAATTATCAAAAGCTAGCAAAGAGACAACAAAAACATTTCTGGAGAGTTACTATAGTCCTTAAAGTGTAATTATTAGATAACAGTGATCTTTCTCTAAGATGAAAATAATGAAAGCGACCCATTGTTAAAATATAAGGCAATAACATATTTCAGTTAATATACAGTAAGATGAATAAATATATACATATATATTTAGTTAGTGTGCTAAATTTCTAATATGGAATTTATACTATGATATATTCATGTAGCATGTATAAATAATATTATTTAAATAGTCAAGATTGAAGAGAGAAACTTTGACTTGTGGAATTATTTTAAAATTAATGTTATATGACATTTTATATACTCACATCAATCCAGAATAAATTACAAAAAGAATTCATAATTTTGTATCACAGTTTATTACCTGATTTCATTTAGAAGTCATAATAACTCAAAATTATATTTAATTACAAATAAACTGAATGAGTAAAATAATTGATAGTAAAATATAAATAGTATAAGTAGCTATGTAAATACATGGACATACATTTTCTTATGCCTTTAGTTAAATACAACAACTGAAAGGAAGATCCAGAGGAGAATATTACAAGTAATAGCCAATAAATAGCTGATTATTTACATTTGAATTTTCTTTGTTATGTGTCTATCATAAAAAGATTGCCTTGGGAACCAGCAGTTAGCGTAATGTCTATGTCGCTGGTCTCCCACGTAGTCGACCGCGGTTCATGTCCCGGACCTGGTAGCTTAAAACTCATGCCGGGCACGTGTGCGTGTGTGCCCAAGATCCCGAGAGGAGAATGGAGGAGAAGGGATTGCGGCGTGACCATCCCCCTTGGGGGGTGATTTCTCGCTTTCTGTCTCTATGTCTCTCTCTCTCTGTCTGGCGAGTGCACGCGCCCTATAGTGAAAAAAAAAAAAAAGATTGCCTTAAATTTTATGTTTCTTAGGACAAGTTTATGATTTTATAGATAATTTATTAGAAGTAATTATTAAAGTAATTTGTCAGGTTCTATCTAATTCTTGCAATATTCCGCTATGCTATTTTTGCTCTTTATTGTTTTGAATTTACATAAAAATCTGGAAAAAATCAGATAAATATTATACATGTCTTTACCCTTATCATATGTCTATGTCTCCAGTGTCAATTTAGAGATATCGACAAGCTAATATGACTGCCTTAAATAATGTATGTAAAATTACAGATATCATTTACAAATTTCTTGGTCTAAGAATACATTTGAAGAGAAAAAATATTTTCTCTCTGGTTCCTCTTCTGTTTTTTAAAGAATTATTTTTATTTAGCTTTATTTATTTATTTACTTATTTTAATTTGACCAGAGTGTGAGAGAGAGAGTAGGGGAGTGAGAAAGCCAGTCGCCAGGTCCGGGACTCAAACCATGGTTGGCCATGTGGGAGTCCAGTATCTTAACCACCATGCCACCTGCCAGCCCTATTGGTTACTTTTTTTAATAAAAAGAAACCTCCTATACACTTTTATATAAATCCAGATATTTGTGGGGTTTTGTTTTGCGCAAAACTATTATATTTACAAAAATGGCACAAAAGTGAATTCAACAGTCAATGCACATGCACACTTCATTCACATCTTTAACAACACAACGTGTTCTAAGACTACAGAACTGAGTAAGAACCCTAGCTTCAATGGCAGGTGCTAAGCACTAGAGTCGCATAAATTACACCAGAATGGGCAAATATTGCCCAAGTAAAATACTACTGTTAAAGTTGGAACAGGTTTGGGAATCAGCAGTTAGCGTAATGGCTATGTCGCTGGACTCCCACGTAGTCGACCGCAGTTCACGTCCCAGACCCGGTGGCTTAAAACTCATGCCGGGCGCATGTGTGTGCGTGCCCAAGATCTTGAGAGGAGAATGGAGGAGAAGAGATTGCGGCATGGTCATCCCCCCTGGGGGGTGATTTCTCGTTTTCTGTCTCTCTGTCTCTCTCTGTCTATCTGGCGAGTGCATGCGCCCTATAGCGAAAAACCTCTCAAAAAAACACACACAAAAAAAACAACAACAACAACAACAAAAAACCCAAAACAAAACAAAACAAAAGCTGGAACAGGTTCAAGGCCATTCAAGTTCAAGCATAGAAACACAAATCTCTCAGAGAGATTTGTTTTTGAAGCATGTGACCTTGCTTCACACTTGTGGTCTTAAACATCTGTTTTACAAAATTCCAAAGGAAAATACAGAAGAAATCAATAAAACAGAGATTATATTAAATAAAGAGTAACATACAAAGCTGTAATTTAGATGAAGTAAAGAAAGCTAAAACATTAAAATCGTAAAACTTGCTTGTTACTTGTTGGAACCAGTCCTACACAAGGAGTTAGGTAATATATACAATTATTTTCAAGTAGATTACTTCTGTTGCTCTAACATGTTCTTTTCATCAGTGCACTGTTAAGCTAATCAAAACTCTACACACGTATATTCCCTTACAATAGCAGCACACACTACCACTACCTGCAAAGCTGTCAGTTTCAAATGACTTAGTGAATGAAAAGAAATAAAAAGTGGGTTAGGTAACATATTAAGAGGAAAGAATGGGAATTAAAAGATTCATGCAGTTCAGCTCTTTTAATCAGCCAGCCAGCTTGCTAGCAACAAGGGATGGTTTCCGCTGAGGAAGGTCCTGTGGAGTCGGAATGTGGTCACCAGTGACCTCTGTCTTATCCGGGGCGGCAGCAGGAAGTTGCTTGTTCTTCATTTTTGCTTTGGCCATGTTGTAATCCCCAGAATCAAAATATTTTTGCCCTTTTTGCAATCGTTTTTTTAAGAAATCTGAACCTCCAGATTTTTGTCCCAGATGAGGATACCTTGCTTTTAATTTTGCCTCTTCAGCTTTCTCTGGACTAGTTACTTTATCTTCCATTTCCTTCTGCTCCTCGGCAGACGCTGCCTCGGGAGCTTCCGCGGACATAGCGCTCCCTCGAACCCTGCTTCCCAGATATTTGTATACTTATTCTAAAAATAACTTTAGAATCATAGTCTTCAAAAAACCTCAAAATTTCCATTTTTCAAATATATTAATCCTGGATGCGTAATAGTTGCATGTCCCAAATTGTGTGACATAGAAAACTATAAGGAGTAAGCATCATTCACCAAAATATAATTTATTATGTTAATCCAATTTGCCTTTTATAAAACAGTTTCATAGAAGATGGTACATTTTTGTCTGTATTTGGAAAGTTGGGTAAAATGATACAATTTCAGAACATACTGTATCAGTGTTTAGTCATGGTACATTATAGATAATTCATGGATTTTCTTGAATTTCCTTGATAGAGAATCACATCATTTGCAATTAGAAATACTTTATCTTTTTCCCATCTCTTATGCTCTGATTTGCTCTTGTTTAGTTGCACTTTCTCATTCTTCCACTGTCATGTCCCTGTTAGCAACAACAGTGGGCAATTTTAAAATCTTGTTTATGATTTTATTGACAACCAAAATTAGTGATTTGGAATTCATTCTGTGGTGCTCTGGAGTTTGTATGTATATGGCATTTGTTTTACACTAATTGTTAATTGCTTGACTGTCCCCACTGGAGTGCTGAAGGTGGAGGGGTTGGTCAGTGTTAAGGAGGTTAACTAGATTCTCCAGATTTGTTGAAAGTCTATGACAGAGCTGCCTTATGATTTTTTTTTCCTGACTGTGAATATTTGCTTTTTTTTATCTTACCTCAGTTTTCTTCTCTAACCTCAAGTCTTGCTTGTCGTTGTTAAATAAAGATTTGAGGACTTCAATAGTTTGTGCTAAGATGAGTTGGTTTTAAACTAACACCAGTAAGACTCATACCCTTATGGCATTCAAATGCTTTCCTCTCAGATGCCAACTTGTCACTAATTCTCGGCTGATTTCAATGCACACAAACACCTTTTTATTGGTATTTACTTTGGCATTGATGCTGACAATTTGGACTTGAAGTGACAGCATTAATACTGATAGCAGTAACATAAAATCAGTGGATGTTTTATAGTAAAATGTGGATTTAAAATTTATTTTAAATAAAAGTGATGAGAGAATTTTTGACTCAGTAGCTGGAAAGATTAAAATAGACAATGAGTAAATAACAACAAATATCCCCAAAATAAAAATTTTAAAAAGTATTAGAGAATTTCTGAGAAGCACTGTAGAAAGTTATTTTAAATCAAACATGACCAAAAGGAAAACAAAGAATAATACAGAAGACAAAAATGTAGATGAGAAGAAAAAAGTTGTAGAAACAAGACAAAATGTTCTGGAAACTAAAATTGTATTTCTTATTTGTTCATTTTAAGATTGAAAAGACAAAGGACAGCAAATTTGTGGGCATCATAAGATAGTAACAGCTCATGTTGTTCTTATCGAATACTAATTGTACCGCTTCAAGATTTTGTCTCGATATGAGAAAGTCTTTTCACATTGTCCTATAGAAGTACTGTGTTAAAAACGGGAGTTGCAAAAACCCAATACTTTAATAAAAAATAAAACTGTAAAGTTCACAATACTTTTATTCTTTAAGAGAGTAAACAAATTGTGATGCTACTATTGGAAGCTTAGTTGAAATCTTTCTTATAGAAACATACATTTAAAAAAAAAAAAAAACACCCAGAAACAAGAACACAGAGCATCACTCCTAGAAAATTCCAAAGTTCTGTACTTTATGCCACAAAATTTGTTCAAGTTAAGAAAGTCCAGAGGGTGCAAAGACATTATTATTCAGGAACTGGATGGGCTCAGATATCAGATCCTCATTCATTGAACAGACTTTGTTTGGACACTGCAATAAACAGAATAATGCTCCTTCCTACTACCAAATGTCCACATCCTAATCCCAAGAACCTGTACATGTGTTTATTTATACGTCAAAGGGTCTTAGCAGATAAGATTTAGACTCTTGAGGAGGGAGATTATCTTGCTTTAATGTAATCATTAGGATCCTTCTAACTGAGAGACAGAGAAATTTGAAGAGGCTATATTACTGACTTTGAACATGGAGGAAGGGGCAAATTTGAAGAGGCTATATTACTGACTTTGAAGATGGAGGAAAAGGTCATGTACAAAAGAATGTAGACAGCCTCCAGAAGCAGGAAAAGGCAAGCATCGGACTCTCCCTTAGGGTCCTTCAGAAAGAATGCTACCATATTGACAGTGATTTTTTAGCCTAGTCAGATCTATTTCAAATTTCTGAAGCTCAGAACTAAAATGGAATACACTTGTGTTGTTTGACACTAAATTTGAGGTGATTTAATTCAGAAGAAAGAGGAAAATAAATCGGGAAAATATAGTAAAATAAGCACTGAGGACCCAAGGATAATCAAGACACCATCCCGAGATTAAAGAGATCAGTTACCAGTGGTGCAGATGTGGATATAAATATGGATAAAAATATGCATCACTGTGACCTAATGTGATAGCAATATGCATTGACAGTAGAAGATAGTGAGGGAAACATCTAATTGTAGTTGGGAAAG